CACCCGAGCTCCAGAAGAGATCAACAGGCATTGGGTCAGGAACAGCCACTCGAGTTTCACCTTTAATGAATCATTTTACTCCTTATTACAGCCAGAAAACTTTTAAACAATGAAAAGGCTACTGGAGCTTCGTGGCACCTTGAATAATGGCCAGCTCGTGACATAAGCCAGCCAACTCTTCAGCAGAGAACTTGACTTAGTTCTGAGAGCTGCTGCAAGGTATCCAGGCACAGAAAGCTTTGGTGTGATTTTTTTTTTTTCCTTTTCCTCCTCCATATCTGTTTTAGGACCTACCCTCCAGCTGTGTTCTGAACCCCTTCTGGGGAGCCCCTTTCTCCCCCAGGACTGCAGTCTCCCGCTGCCTGTGCTGTCCTTCTAGCCAAACAACTGGGAGAAGGTACAGGGCACAACAGGGAGAAACAGCTGGTGTTGCTCACTGGTTGTGGCACCTTTTTCCAAGCAACCAAGTCGCCTAAGTCAGTGAAACATACAGGTTTTCCCATGGCTGTGGTAGAGGCTCCAAAATTTCCTGAAGACGGAAAAACTTAAGGTTTATGTGTGTGGAGAATATAGCAAAAGTCTGCACTGACTTTTACAAAGCTGTCCTAGAGGATGAAGCTTTATGAATGCCCAAGTCAGCTGGGCATTTTAGGTAGGGCAGACAAGCCTTGAAGGAAGAAAGATGGCATGCTCTTAATCTCTGAGATATGCTAGTGCTTTTGTACTTTAGCCAAACTTCAGCCTGTCACAGAACAAGCCCAGTTTAACACCTCTGTGCTGTTCAGTATAGGTTGTATATCTTACCAATAGAACTCAGTTTTACTAGCCAGAGGGGGCTAGATGGATTTCCTTACCGATAAAGGGGGAGAATGCTCGTATGTTTCTATTAAATTAAAACAGCTGAAGTGATACTAAATGAAATTCTCAATAGGATTTAGATTAGAACCAACTACTTTTACTAGCTGCAAAACGGAACAGCAAAAATGTCAAAGCAAGTCACATAGACTGGAATTATACGACTATTTTTACTGCTTTTAAATACTGAATTTGCTGGTTTGAACAACTTTGAGGCTAAAATCACAAAGGAATTTAATAGGTTGCAGTGTTCTGTGTTTAGAAAAGTTTTAAAATCACAAGTACGATATTTATTAGGCACTCAGATAGTTCTGTGAGGGAAAGGGGGCAATCCCATTGTGCCTGATAATCAGGAGAGTCACTCTCATCATTTTCATTAAAAAGGATTTTAACACAACTCAACCATTGCTGCCCCAGTGTAATTCCCAGTCATTCTAGCTTAAAAATTAATTTATACACAGGCTACTACAGATAGCAAGCACGTTGTCTCTAAAATACATAGTAATCTGGCAGTTAGGACATGATAATGTATGATGGGGCTTAATATATGGTAACTAGGAAACACTCAGCAGTGTAAACAACTGAGTAGTGTTTTTGGGGACATCCACTAGCCAAAATTTACTGGGCTAGTCATGGGCTTTGAGGACTGGGAGTTGAGCAGAAGTCCCTTCTTGTGGCTGTACCATGTTCTTTCTTTGCAGAAGAAACCTGTACCATAGGGTTAGCTTTAAGGAGAGCCAAGATGAATCAGTTCTTACAAATTAACTACCTGATAAAGTTATTAAACTGCTTTCATGCATTAGGTCATAGAAAAGAGGTTCTCATCCAAGAGTGATACATGAAAATCTGCAATTTTTTAGACAGTAATAAATAATAAACTAGAGAGCATCCTTTTAAGAAGAGAATGGCCCAGGCAAGAGAAAATAAGGGGTTAATAGGTATCCTGCACAACCTGGAAAGTTTTGTTCCAAGGATAAGTCAATCCTCATATTTTTAATTAAAAAAGAAATCAAGCTTGCAGTTCTACTTCACAGCTGAAAGAAACATGCTTCATAAAGAACACAACTTATTGCAACTTACTTCTGTCCAAGTTTAAAGGGCTGCAGCCTGAAGTTACGCTCTTCATTGGACCTGCTCTCCCACGGGTGGAAGCAAAGAACAGGCTTAGCAGCACTTGAACAAATTTCCTGAGGTGGGAAGGAACTGTCAGGTGAAGGTCAAGCAGCTAATGAAACTAACACTTGGACTACCCAGGAGTGATGCTCAAGCAGTCTGACAATGCTTTTATCTCGTGGAACAAACACAGTAAAAAGAAATCCAGAGTAGGTGGCACAGAGATGAACATTAATCGATCGTGTGTTACAGCTACTCACTGTCTTGGCAGAAAACTCAAGAAGCTCTGAATGACTGCTAAGCTGGTAGAGGTTAGCAGTCTTCTGAGGACTTCATTACTGCCTCTGTGGTTACAGCTTCTGCTTTAGGAAACTCTTCAAGCTCAGGTCTCAGCTAACTCATTTTAAGTTAAGAGCACGAGTGAAAATACCTTTCCCACCCCTAAGTGGAAGTTGTAGCAATTAATCTCTTCTGCCCACTCAGTGAAAATAACTAAATAGATTTGTATAAGCAAGTTCTAGTATAAGCTGGGCTTGCATCTTTTGTTAATGCCATTGCTGGAGAAACAGATTTGTGCTATTATCTGTCATTTACAATCAAGAACTAATTGAGAAGTACTGTAGTCTTTAAGGAGGTTGTAAAACTTCTTTGAGCTTGATTATCCCAAAAGCTTGTAGATTACATCAATTTGTGTTACAGGCAGTTATCTGCTGTGACTGAGAACTAATAAGCCTTGACACTATCTAAAAATCTCCTGGATAATCAAGCTTAAAGTTATTTCACTAGGTCTTTTAAAAGACTACAGTAAAAAACAATTTAATAATTTATTTTTGTAGCATTTCCTTTACTTGCTCTGTGGGTAAGACTCTACCTGTTGATGTTCCGCAGCCAAAAATGCTGGAAGGACCCACAGAACTAGCTTTCCTCTTCTCCTAGTCCTATTGTCTAGTATTCCTATGCACTATGTTAACAGTTTATACTAATTCTCTGCATTGCACCTCAAGCTCAAATCCTTACAGACATAGCATCTGCTTGAATTAGATTGTGTGTCTTTCTGTAAAGCTCATGCTTGTCGACAGCTTTAATCAAAAAACAGGCTTCTGATGGAAAAGTCTACAAACACAAACCTCCACTCTGTAAATCACTGCTGTGCCCAGCACGTGCTCCACATCCAGACAGCTTGGCTCATCACATCAGGCATGCTGACGAATTTGCTGAAGGCCACATGCTTGCACAACAGCAGCTTAGGCAGTTCTCCCTAACATTTTCTATTTTTGATACTTCCTCTTATGTTGTTCTTCTTTAAATAACTCCATCTAGACACAACATAACTGCCCAGTTTAAAAACTACAGCATCAAGTTAAAAATGTAGTCCTGCCAGAGGTATCTATCTCCCTGTTACACAAAAGGCAGAGAAATGACAAAGGGATTCAGTCTCATCCAGCCAGCCCAAAACATCAGGATACAGTCAAGTAACTAGGGCACAGAGCATAAAAGGACCACAAAACAGACCAACCAAACATACACACTGAGGGAAGGACAGGAGAGCAAGCTATGGCAGCTGACTGCCAGCACTGCTATCTACGAACAAACATGCCAAAAAAAAAAGCCATTGATATTTATCTGCATTAACAGACTTCTGTTTATAAACATTGAAAAGTTTTTATTTTATAGATAAATAGGATGGCAATTTTTAAAGTTAGGAAACAACACAACGTGAAAGCTCTGACTCCCAAAGATACTGTAAGTCAGAGTTTATACTTTATTCTTACTCCGGCATATTAAGATGGCAGCTTCCTCCTTCTCATATTGCACTTAGAACTTGAAACCTTCTTGTAAAGGCTACATCGCGTTCAGGTCCTAGCACCAGCGCTGGCATTAGAAACCAGTGTCTCAAAATATCTCCAAATGCAAACAGAAAGTGTAAGGTGTTGTAACTACCATGCTTAATTAAACATAGCAACGCTGAAAACAGTGTTCTTCTTCCAAAGCAAGAGAAAGGCGATACTCTCCAGGATTCCCTTAAAGTAGTCAGAAATAGATGAGCATTTGTGATGATGAGGTACTGACAACTCACATACAACTGAAATTATTATCAAGGAGTTTGGTTCATAATTGTTTTGCCCTGTTTTCACATTTGGAAAGTTACTTCCATCATGGCTGGCTCAAAAATTTAGTTATTCTAAGAAGAAACAGAAAAGGACAAGAAGAAAGAACAGATTCAATATTATTCAAAATACACAAATCAGGAGTTAGAATTAAATGCTATGCCAAAATAATACTGAAAAATAGAAGTTGAAAGTATGGTAAGAAATCTCAGTGGAATTTCAGTATGACTGAAGAAATTTGCATTCATTGCAAGAACGAGAAGAATTTATCTTCTTCAAGTTTCTGGAAGAAACATGGTTATCTGTCTTACAACCTGTTTGTAGCATCCCCAACCTAATACCAGTTAACTTGCCCAAATTAAAAGCTTTTCCTAATACATCAGTGCTCCCAGAACACAGTTTTGCATCATGTCCAGAGTGAAATTAGAAAGGTAGCAAATTCCAATCACTTGTAATTTTATCAAAGGAGATTTTTATAGACAGGAGAAGGAAACACAAATAAGTTTTGTGCAGACTATCGGCCAGTGCCAGCACAAGCTGCTTCTGACATCACAGAAAAAGTTTAAAGCACCAACCTCCAGGCCTAGGCCACCTCTCGCTGCCTGCCTATACAGCGCGGTGGTCACTGTTGTGATCGCTGAAAAGAAGTATGCTACCACAGGAAAAAAAAGTACCTTTGCCTCTATAGGTTTGCACAAACTTTATTCTTTGCTTCCTGTACTTATATCTAAACTTATTTTTAAAAAAATTGATTAAAAACCAGCACTGATGTAGGTATTAATTACTTAAAAGAAAAGTAAAAGAATTAAGTGCAGCTTTTATAATCATGTTCTGATTTTTTTTTTCCTTTTACATTTACCACAAAAGAAGTACCTTTTTATTGATTTTACTCCAAGGGAAAACATAGGAAATCACTTTTTTGCACAGAGGAGTAAAGTCAGGGACCAGAAACCCATTTCCCCACAGGACATTTCAGATGGAGTGTTGCAATTTTGCATCATTAAGGCAAAATGAGGAATACTTCCATCAAGTGCCACATAGGGCTCTCCCACTCTGGCCACTCTGATAGACCCATATTTAAAAACCTTTGAAATTTTTCTCTTTTTTTTTTTTTTTTTTTTTAATAGAAAACAGTCACTCTCTTAATTGCTTAACAGTTTGAAAGAAAAGGCTCTTTCCAGCCTTCACTCAGAACTTCAGTTTTGTGATTACATCAGGCATATGCAATTGCTTCAAAACAGCTATGGAAACTAGAAATTGAGCTAAGTGTCAATCAGCTGTAATCTACTGATCTGATTAGAGGCCTTCACAAATGTTTGATGACGATTGCAAATGACAGCCAAGCAGATAGGAATGATGCAATACCCAACTGTCTTGGGGTCAGCTCTTGTACAGGAATAGAGGAACAAGAACATCTGTAAATATGGTATTAAAAATATGATAGTCCAAAGCCAAAAAGGCAAGGATAGCAGGCGTACTTTTAAGGAGTGCGTCCATGTGGTTCCTTCCTGTGGTTCCTTGGGGTGTTGCTGAATGTGCTCCAGTGCTAGTTTGTTGTAAGTGTCATTGATTTCAAAGACATAATATAAAGCTGCAGCACTTGCTAACAAGTACAACCCCACACCAATCCATCCCATCCTCTGGCGGAAGTTCATCATTCTCCATGCTCTGCACCTGGAACAAAAGGCAATGCATGCACTCAGTACGGCTTGGAGAAAGAGGACATACAGATGAAGCTTGGTTTTTGTAAGTTAATGTTTTGTAATTTTTCCATGACACATGTTATGGTTTTTGGCTGGAACAGAGCTGGGTTTCTTTTCAGTAGTTAGAATAGTGTTGCATTTTGCTTTCAGCCTGGGATTTGTTATGAGAGAGACACTGATAACACACCAGTGTTTGCATTTTTGTCACTAGAAGTGAAGGACTTTGTGTTCTGTCAGTCTGCAAGCGCAAGATCTAAGGGGGTGAGGAATATTTAAATTAATAAGCTGGTGTTTGGATATGCCAGTGGGATATTCCAGATCATATCATGTCCAGTATATTAGTGAGGGCCTCTTGCTCTCTCTGGCTTTCGCTCGGGCTCTCGTTCTTCCGGGATTGTGGTTTCGGTCCGGGATTGTCGCTACTCCAGGAACAGGCCGGGCTCGGTCAGTGGGTGGTGAGCAGTTGCACTGGGTGTCACTCATTTGTATATTTTGTTACTGATATAATTATCACTGCTATTTTAATATTAGGATTATTTTAAGATTTCTTTTACTTCTATTATTAAACAGTTCTTATCTCAACCTATGAGCATCCTTACCCTTGCCCCCCAATCCTCTCCCCTGTCCCCCGGGGGGTTGGGGGGAAGTGAGTGAACGGCTGTGTTGGCTGCTGGCCAAGGGCCAGCCCAGTAAAACTGTCACAACACATTAATAAAAACAGTGCACACATCTACTTCCAAAGCCCCGAGTTCTCTCTACATCACAGAAAATCATACTGCTGTCAGCACTAGGCTAACGGTGATTACACACAATGCTCCATCGATGGCTCTGGCTAGTTTAAGGCCTGCTAGCTACCAAGTTATACCAGCCTAAACCCACTGACTGAACAAAACAGAAGTCATGAATTGGGCAAGTTACTTACCCCACCAGCCCTCAGTGTCTCTAGCCACAGGGGGGGATAATACAACACTTCCTATAAATATAGGATTTACCATAATTCATTTAAAAAATCATTGCACGTTTTCAAATCCCATCTCCCAAGGCCATACTAATCTGTCTGGCTAGCAATCTTGAAAGACTTCCTGGTTTTCCGTATCTGAAGGATATCCTCAATCCTGACCTGACAGAATCTGACCAGGATAGCCCTGGAGAAATTGTTCTGGCCCTCACACTGCTGCATTCTTGGTGGCTAAAGGAGTCAAACATACAGGAAATACTTGAGAATGCCATTACTTATGTCTGTGATAAATATTCGTTGTCTAACTTGTACTTCTATATAACTTAATGGTATCTTTCCTTTTAATACAGCAAGTTAATACAGCAAGTTAATACTTCTAGTAAGACAACCAAAAAAATGTGTAAGAACCTCTTAATCCATTGGGTAAAAACTTAAAAGCCAGAGTCCGTGTTTACCCAAGAGTTGAGTCACTGTCTGTTTTTTTCCAGTAGTTGGGGCATTTTAGAGATGGCCAACAAGTGGCTGCCTTCAGAGAAAATGACTCTCCCCAAGGGGTGCGTGTACAAGCAGCACAAACACGCTGCGATGGCAGTAGCTTTAAGCAGGGAGGCATGAGGGTTGTTTTTCCCCTGCCCTCGCTAGGCCGCGGTGGGCTGAGCAGGAGCCCTGGCCCCGCGTTACACCGGGAGGCGGAGGGGACGCTCGCAGGTTCCTCGCGCTCATTTTCCGTTTCCAGACGCTATTTTTACTCGCGGCGTTCGGGGATATCCGCGAGGGTTTCCA